TCGGGCGGCATGGCGCTCGGAGGGGGGCGGGGCTTCGGGCGGCACGGTGCTTGGAGGGGGGCGGGGGCTTCGGGCAGCATGGTCTCAGGGGGGCGGGGATTTCGGCGGCGCTGGGGGGGGTTGGCGGCGCGGCGCTCACGGGGGGGGGTACGGCGGCACAGCGCTCGCCGGGGGGGAACGGTGCTCTTCTTTTTTGCCTGGGGCGGCAAAAAAGTTAGAGCCGGCCCTGAGCGCTACTTTGCTGGCCATATTCCTGTTTGGGCAATTGCATTATGACTCCCTAAAGTTTACCCCAGCATTTCAATTACCTATTGAAATGACCTATTCTCAGATTTGAAGGCCAGAGGGACCATTTGATAATCTAGTCTGACAACCCTCCCACATAATAAAGGCCACCTACATGTAGCCCTACAACTTGCATTTCTTCTTCACTTCCTATTGTAAATTCTAATGTTGCAGTGCTGTGCACTGTTAAACAGCTATCATACTCCACCCCAGAGGTGGCTTCTGCATTTCTGTAGCAGGTGATACAAGCCCTGCCATATATCATTTGTAATGTCTGCCTGGCACTTTGGAATCATGAAAGACACTATAGAAATGTTAGTCAATGATAATCTGCATTAGTATTTCATCTCTAAAAAAAAGCAGCGATGACTCATTCTCTCTCTGACAGTAAGTAGGGATTCGTTTGCCCCTGTCCCAGGCATGTTTTTATATCAACACCTGGAAAAGGAAGACTATTGCTCATGGGAGAATTCAGATTCACACCCTTGTCTTCTAGGTGGACAGCAGGGGCACAGGGTCCTTGCTGTTGCTTGTTATTTTGCGTGCCCCCCTTTTTATTTAGTGCATGTTAGCTGCAAGAAGGGCAAATCTTGACCATCAAACAACCACAGAGGACAAAGGTGTCAGTAACTGGGTTTTCTGGTTAGGCCCAAGCAGAAAAACCACTCAGATTGGAAAGGATTTTCCTTGTAGTCTGTACAGCAGACACACAGAGGACATTTTCTGTTCCTATATCCTGCCTCACAACAATGGTTCCAAGCCTAGGACAAGACATCCCTTCCTCTCCCCTGCACTCACCAACCATGATCCTAGGACCAGTGGAGGGATCTGGCTGCAGCTTTCTTTGGACTTTCATGCCCCGCTGGTTTTGCATTTCAGTCTCCAGTTTGTCATAATGAGGCTATCGGTAAGAAATCCACACACACTCCCATCACTTACCCCACTTCCATAGGACAGACAATGCAGTGCCAAGGTGCAGCAGGCCTGTGGTTGATGACGATGTTGCTGGTACGTGATGGTTCTGAAGAAGGTGAACCTGTGTAGTCCTGCCCCACTGCTAACTTACACACACCCAGCATCCGGACAAATGTACAATGCTATCCATGGTGTGGGTGGGTGGTGGGAATTCCTTCCTGATCCCGCATTCATTTGTTATTCTGCAGGTTGAAGCATGGGGTTTGGTTAACCTCCTATTACTGTCCTCACTATAATTGTTATTTCTGGTAATGAAATTTGAACCACAGAAGTTGACTCAGTTTCCTGGTTGCCCAAAACATAATTTTACTACTAGAGATAGTGAAGCAGAGCTGGGGGAGGGTAAAGAAAGATAAAGAGGATGGACCGGAGATGCATTGAGGGCCAAGGGCACCATCTGGTGGCTTGAGGTGTAGCCGCTCCTAAATCCCCTTTTCTGTCAGGGTCAGTGAAAGTCTGGGGAAAAAAATGTGCTTGTTAAACACACAAACCAAAAGGGGATAAGAGAGTCTCGACCCCAGCCCAGGTGGGAAGCAAGATGTGCACCGATGAATACAGATGGGAAAAGCAATCCAGACCGCACAGCCTGCCTTTGCTCTCTTCAGACTGGATGTAGGGATGGTCAGCGTATTCAAATTGCTCATCGCACTGGGCTAAAAGGAACAGAGAGACACAGAAGGTCTCAAAGGCAGACAGGTCCCATCATACATAAGCCTTTAAATACTAAGCCTGAATCTCATTCACTAAACAATAGGCAGCTAGTGCAGCTCATGGCAGGCAGGGGTCATTGTCTTGTTGGGGGGAACACACGGATTTATACTGCCACAGACTGCATTGGGTGCAACCTGTTGATGGTATTCAAGGATGTCTTCAGCCTGGAGGTCACAAAGCCATGAATCACTATACCCAACCATCACCCACAAGACAATACCGTTTCCCATCAACGGCCCTCAGCCTGCAAGCTTCTCATAGAGGGTGCCCAGTACCTTGAAGGAGTGGGGCTAAACGTGCCTAACAGTAAAATCTATTTGTTTCTTTGGGATATTGTTTGACAGAGCACCTACCACAGAACAGCCTCGATCCTGACTGAGGCATCTAGGTGCTATGGTAATACAGGTGTCATCAAAGAAGAAGAAGAGAAAAGGGGGAAAAAACCCTACACCTTAGACCATCCATTTTATCATAGTTATTTGTTATGACTTTTGTGTTTCTTGATTACAGATAAAGGGCAAAATAAAAATGTATTACTGTAGAGCTTGTTAAAAGATGGTACAGTAAAAAGATTTGTACGCTGCAGAAAAAGAAAAAAGTAATACCAAAAATATATCCAATCTCTGCATTGTCAAACTGGAATTTGTTGCAGAAGGTCACTGAAAGGGGTTGTGGCAGGATTTTTAAACAGGGGATAGATAATTTTAGCACCATTAACAATATGTGTAGCTATGCAGGCTAAGACAATGATATAAAGGCAATCAAAGTACAGGCTTCAGGACATTTGCTGATGGCTCACTCATGAGGGTGGGAGAAGGGAAATATTACCTCCAATATGACTAGAGCTCATACAGGGCAGTCATTCTTCTTTTATGAAGAAGGCGGGGAGTGCAGTCCTACTGAATCCAATACTCAGTTTGACATGAGATTTCCCCACCCTCTCTCTGCAATTCCCTAGCTGCAAACAGAGCCTTACTCTCAAGTGTTCCTAGTACCGGGGAACCAAAGTACACATGCTTGTCATAAGTTAAATGCAGATGTGTATTAGTGTTATGGCTACGGAAAAGATCACAGCTATCACCAACAGTCCCTGGCCTAGAGACATGTTTCGGAAGGGAAAACAATCATTTAATTTAGAGCAAAAATGTGTGTGGAAGAAGCACAACAAGCCAATAAAACCAGATTCCGGGAGGCTGACGGCTCTGTTTCTTTATTTCATTTGTTTAAGCTGTCTGACAGTTACTAAAAACTAACTTATTTCCTCCTGTGGAATACAGGCAAATAATATTAGTTCCCTGCACCCCCCGCCTGGGCCAGACAGTTAGGTACAAATACAAAGCCAAATAATTACTGATTTTCTCTGCACCACATTCATCACACCAATGCTATTTAAATGCTCTTTAATAACCTTTCTTTCCCTTGGTGGGAGGCCTTTCTTTACAGGTCTCCCTGGAAAACGTCTGTGTCTTAAACACTACTTACCCCACATGCTCTCCTCCTTGATTCCATGGGGTGTCTCATTCTCTCGGTAGTTGGTGATGCTAAAGGGGTATTTCTGGTTTGCAGCTACACATCTTCATAATGATCTCTCCTTTTTTGCACAATCTTCTACTCTCAATGGGACAATCCACAACACAATTAAATCAAAGGAAGGACTCCGATTGACTTCAGTGGGTTTTGGATCAGGCTTAAACTGCACAGACCTTCCAACTTTTCTCTGGAATTCAGACTGTCTTTCTTAACTAGCCAGAATCTGTCATTGTGCCTCCAACCTGTTGCCTACCATCTTCCCACCATAGTACAGAATGAGGGAATTACGCTATCCTACAGCCCTTTCTTTCAATTACTTTATAATTTTTGATAATCCCAAGTATATAATATATATAGTTGGTCAGATGTAAATAGTGAATTAGAGGGAAAAAAGCACAAAAGAAAATGACGAACAAGAGACTGACCAGAAGGCAGTTATCAACACTGCATAAGAGAGTCTTTTCAAGAAATTTCCAGTTGTACATAAAGCATTTAGCGCTTATAAAATGCCATATTTAAAACAAAATTACAAATGTTTTTTATTTTGGTAAATGTTAACTCCATCTAATCTATCAGCTTGTTCTAAAGATTTTCTTGACACATGGTAATCAATTAAAATATATCATTTACCACCAACATTACTCAAAACTTGGCAAGGAATTTTTTTTTACTGTAATTGCACCAATTTTGCAAATTCTTTAAGTCTGAATCTTTTTTTTTCTAACTCGTGTTTCCCAGGTCAACTCAGGAAACATTAAAACCCGGTGACCCCAAAAACATTTGTTTTAAAATTCTGTCTCAGAATGATCACAAGCATTTACAAATGGAAAAACAATTTTACTGGGTCCTTGCGTCAATGAATTTCTAGACATCGATAAGAGAAAAGTTGTTATCATTAAGGAAAGTACAGATTCCACATTTTAAATTTCTTCTAATAAATGAGCAAAGCAATAAGAAGTTTATCTCTTAAAACATAGTATAGGAAGCCTGGAAGCCCTGGAAACATTTTCCATAGCCTCCCATCTTTGAAGTATAGCAATATTACCTACAACTGGAGAGGATCCTATGACCTTCAGATCAGTTTTAATTTGATTTTCTTCTTTAAAGAGATTTGTATGATTCCTTTCAGCTTATTCTACAGATTCTTGTTTTGTTTTTAGAAAAGTTGAGGTACAACATCTTCAGCTCTTTGATCCATTGTTTTGATCAAGTTATACAATATAATTAATGTCACTCCTTTCCCATCAGAATTACAATGAGTGTAAGTTCAGCTGATAGGCTAGATCAGGGGTGGCCAACCTGTGGCTCCGGAGTCACATGTGGCTCTTCAGAGGTTAACATGCGGCTCCCATAGGCGCTGACTCCAGGGCTTGAGCTGCAGACACCAACTTTCCAATGTGCCGGGGGGTGCTCACTGCTCAACCCCCTGCTCTGCCCCAGGCCCTGCCCCCACTCCACCCATTCCCCCAACGTCCCTGCCCCTTCCCCCGAACGTGTTGTGCTCCCCTCATCCCCCCTACCTCTCAGAGCCTCCTGCACATGCAAAACAGCTGATCACAGCAGGCGGGAGGCATGGGGCAGAGGGGGAGGCGCTAGAGGCTGGAGTGGGGGAAGTTGATGGGGGGCTGCTGACATATTACTGTGGCTCTTCGGCAATGTACATTGGTAAATTCTGGCTTCTTCTCAGGCTCAGGATGGCCACCCCTGAGCTAGATCCATGTGATAGCAAGGATAAGAGCTTGGATGGAAAATTCACACACAGGGCCTCTACTCCATATATTGTGAGTCTGATAAACTGGTTTAGCTGCATTTTTTAAAATACCACCCTAAACACCAGGAGTGATATCCTGGCTCCACTGAAATAAATGGCAAAACTCCTACTGACTTCAATGGGATGAACATTTCTCCCCAAGATATTACATCTGCCCACACCAAAGCTTAAAAAACCAATCACACTATGTAACAATACCTATTAAAAACGTGCGTCGGACGAAGTGGGTATTCACCCACGAAAGCTTATGCTCCAATACATTTGTTAGTCTATAACGGACTCTTTGTTGCTATTAAAAAGAAGAATGTTAACTCTCCCTCTGAACACCCTTCCTGGAAGGGACATCAGCCTGGGACAGGGTTATAAACAGGATAGACTCCAGCAGGGCAGCTGCTCTCGCAAGCCCTGTCTCCAAATAGTTTATCATGGGAGGAACATCACCAATGAGACATGTCCACAGGCAGGGAAGACACCTGCTTCATTTTCCGCATCTCTTTTCTTGCTGCCTCTCCCCACCCTATTCCGCTGGTTGCATTCAAAGGAAAATATTCACCCTGCAGAGCTGAATCCGACAGACTGTTTTGGAGCAGCACAGGGCTGTACTGTACATCTGCAGTTACAGTACAGGGCTAGCAGGTCAGTTTGCTTTACGCATCAGCATGTTTCAGCTTGAAGTTGTTGAGAAAGGGAACGCGGCGACAGGGGTCCGTGGCTCCCAATCAGGTCCTCATTAGACATATATCAAGTTCATATTGGCATGACAGGAGAGAGCTAGGAGTGGGATAGCATGGGCTGCAAATCAGGATTGAGGTGCACTGTCAAAAAAAGTAGTGGGGTCCCTGTATTGTACAACAAGTGCTATAGATCAAGACTCAAATGCATCGCCATAGCTGGGTGAGGGAAACTTGCACAGTTCCTGACTAAAACGATCGCTAAAAGTCAGACTTATAAATAATTGAAAGCAATATCCTCTGCAGGAGCACCCATGCAGCCTGGGCCACCCTGAGATCAGAACAGAGGAATTCTGAGGTCCATAAAGGACAGATTAGAAAGAGACTAGGGTGGGGCTCTGCCATAAGTGTGTCATGAGTCTCTGGAGAATTCAGATGGATACTAAAGATGTGAGGGGCAGTTCCCTCATACTCAGAGATGTATAGTCCAAGCACGATCAGTCTTTCCCCTTAGATATTCTCATACAGGGTATCAAAGGGTTCTTCCAGAGTTTCTTGCTGAGATTTCTACAAAATGGTAAAAAGAAAAAAAGAAATGGAGAAAAATTATTCAAACAGCCAGATTGATTCTTAAGAAGTATCCTCTGCAACTCTTTCCACTAGCAATGGCCACTAGTGATCCACAGAATGGAATTAACTCAGCCAGTAGAATGCTGCTCCCCCGGAGATGAACATTAATAACCCTGCTCCAGGCACAAAGGTGCTTCCTATTTTCCACTGTTCCAAAAAAACCCAATCCACTTGGGAAGGGGGATTGATCTTGGTTATTCCAAAAGTAAAAAATAAATCAGTCTGGATTCTGTGAAAGAGGAATTCCCTGACCTTCCCAATTCTGTTTCTTCAATAGCTGAATCTTTTCTACACCACTGTATCTTGCAGAGACAAGGCACCGACAGACACGGACATTTTAAGCACTGGGTCACATACTCCTGCTGTTGCTGTGAGCAAGGTTAGACAACTGAGTAGTTGAAATGCCAGTGGCTGCATGAAGCCCTGTCTACACTAGCAATTCCTCCGGGGCATCAATGGGAAACATTTTACAAAAAAAGCCAACTGTGGACTCTCCAAAGGGCACCTGTACACCAGAGAACTGACCTATTCATTACTAGCTGAACTGGTGGATATTGCAGTGGTGCAGTGCACTCACACCAGCCTTCCAGTTATGGGTGCATTCATGCCCTGCATCCACACATGGCATTCCTTGCAAACACAGCCACTGTGCTGGTGGTAGCAACAGTTAGAGCGCTGGTCTAAATCAGTCACTGTCATTTTATCATCATGTTGCCTAGGACTACCGTGAGCAGAAGGCAAAAATCACTGGCACCTACTCTCTACTCGCTCTCCCACTATTACTAGCATTGGGGAAACAGCACCAGTGCTAGCGCCATGGTGGGTGAATCTAAGAATCCCCAGTGTCAATGCAGCAACAGTCGCCAGCCTTGCTCAAAGCAAGTCCTGTCCTAATAGTAGCGCAAATACTTGTGGAGTATTGATTGTAATGTTATGTGTGGGCATGTGATGTGTTACAGGTGAGCTACGGACTGCAGTGGCAGGCAGCACATCAAAATTCTCTAGCACAGGGAAGGCCAGGGACATTTTGGGCCAAATTTATCCTCACTGACTTTGATGGAATCACACCACAGATTAATCTGGCCCACCATGTTTATCATGACTTTCCTGTTTTCAATCACTCTGTGTTCATTGCAGACAGAGGCTGGCATGTAAGCAGCTGGGAGCTGCTTAATGCAAACCTTCCCATTCCATTCCTAACATTGCACCTGCTAGAGAACCTCCCCTCCATCCTTGTCCCCTCGCAGAGCTGAGTCTGGACACAGGACACGTGGTAAGTGAGGGTGAGATTTAAAACATCACTACAATGCTTAGTTCTTTTCTTTCTGAATGATGTGATCAGCTGAACTCAAGGTATGAGGCTGCTTTTGACGGCAGGGCTGTAGAAAGCTCTTACCTTTTCTTTCTTCTTCTTTTTCTTCTTCTCTGTTTTCCCACGGTCTTCATTTCTATCTTCAGTCTTGTCTGGCTGCGAGATGTTCATGTCTTGAAGCTACAAAAGACATACCCACATCACTCAGTAACAGGTCACTTTGCCCTAGCAGCCACTCTCCGAACACTCTAACCTCCAAATTAACGGGCTGGCATGTGGCAGTACCAGGGTTCTGATAACACACTGAGTGTTCCATATTTAGTGAAGAGCAACATGATGTGTACACAGCATCTCAGCTCCCTGGCTGAATTGCTCAGATTGCCCAAAGAAGAATGGCCATGATTAAAGTCTAACAAAGAATGAATGGGATAAAAGGTAAGTTGGAATCTCCTGTGTTTCTGGTCTCAGAACACAAGAACAAAGGGCCTCCAATGAAATTCAAAGGTAGTAAAAATGTAAAAGTGATAGAAGGAGATACTTTTTCACACAGTGCACAATTGGTCTGTGGAGCTCATTGCCACAAGATATCACTGAGGCTAAGAGCTTGGCATGATTCCAAAAAGTACCAGACATTTCTATGGATAACTGGACTATTCAATGTTATAATAGTAAATATATTTGTAAAGTAAACAAGAGTTTTGGAAGGGATATGACCACTCAAGCTTTGGGACATATGCCAACCTCTAACTATTTGGGGAGAGGAGGAAACTTTCCCATAACTGCCTACTGCAGGGTTTCTTCTTCCGAAGCTGCTGCTGCTGCTCATTGGAGACAAGATACTGGACTAGATGGATTATTGGTCTGATCCAATATAGCAACTCCTATTATGCCATGTTCCAAAGTCAATATGCAGTTGGAGGACCACACTCAGAGTTGCATCCGCATATGCTAGCAGTGGATTCAGCCGCTAGGCACTGTCCACACTACACTTTTCAACTTGCCAAGAAGGTTCAGGCCTAAAAGGTTTAGTAAGACAAGAGAATATGAATAGAAATGCTTCTGTTACAATAATAATTTTAATAAAACTAAGGAATCGGGGCTGGTGGTGGTTGTTTTTTATAACCAAAAACTTTCCCTCCTATCTTTGCAACCCAAACAGACCAGTGCCAAGTTTAAGAACTGTGGCGAAGGTGTGTGTGGTTACAGCACCTGAAATGCCCAGCAGATTCTGAACACGGAGTTCCAAAGAGTTTGGCAGTGGGAAACAATTGGCGTTAACTGGATTCTGAAGTTAGAAATGGATCAGGCTGGAGGTAGTTTGTAAACAAGAGCCCTTTCGCTGTGCTAACATGATTTATTTTTGTTGTTCCTTTCTGTCCTTGTCCTTGTTGTTCTACTATTGTAGGTAATGTGAGACATTATTTACTTATTGGATCCTGGACACATAATATGCACAAGAAGCAGAAAGTGAAACCAGCTGGAAATGAGGCAAAACTCACCAAACCTTGTTTTACTCTCCAAATTGAGTGCAAAAGGTAATTGTGATGGGGTGGACAAACCTCACGTTGGAGAGAGATAGGGGTGCAGGAATAATTCTGGGCCCAGGAAGCCCTGCCCCAGCAGGCCTGCTGGGCATGCTCCAGTTGGAGGAGGGCCTTAAGAGAGAGTCTCTTCAGCACAACAGGCTGGTGGGTGGAGAGAGAGGTGGGGCTGCAGCCACTGTGATGGAGGGACTGTGCCAGGAAGGTATCTCAGGAGGAGAGTGGTTACATGAAGCTGTGACTCCTTAGCTTGCAAAGGCCCACAGAACAAGTTACAGAGATAACTGCAAGCCATGACACACTCCAAGGAGGGACAGAGTGGTAGGAAGAGACCCAAGGAAGGGTGTTAACTGGACCACACAAAGTGACTGCCTTCCCTGTGGTGCCCAAGAGTGTCCTAGGTCAGAACTTGGTGAAGTGGGAGGGCCTGGGTTCCCCTACCCCTAACCAGTAGGCAAGGCTGCCACCAGAGACTCTAACTGCTAGGCAGGGGTTCCACCCCGCTCACAATAATAAACAGCAACAACTGGGAAAAGTCATTGAATCCAAAGTGTTCGTAAAAAAAAACCCCACCCCAAAACAAAACCAAACAAACCCACACAGTACAGGGAAACCTGCACAGGAGTCCACCTAAGAGAGGCACACTCATTTTGAGAGTGCTCCAAAATGTCCCCTACCATATAGGGCACAATTCTGCTCTACTTTTATTAGCCCATCACTTCTGTTAAGCAGCTGACTCTTGTCGATCTCTTGAGCAGTTGCTCAAGAAGCATTTCACTCAATATGGTTTTCATCTTGACAGTAAGGGGAAAACACAAATGGTAAATAGGGTTCAGAACACCCCGAGCCCAGTTTCCAGGGCTGGCCGACCTGCACTCAGTGTAGGACCAGAATGCAGAGGAGGCTAACGTGGCTGTACATTCCCTTTCCCTGATCCCCACGGTTGTCGGGGTTGCATCAACCCTGGCAGAAGTTAGAGCAGTCTCAGAGCTGCTTTAAACTTTTGGCCCGTGGTAATGGCCCTGAGGGGGCTGTTATGCCAGTTGGGGATGGCTGGGTTCAGCAGTGTCCCAGCCATGCCCATATTCAAGGACTTCTCCATGCTGGCCGACTCTTCAGCTGCCTGATCTTTGCACTGCCTGAGCAGTCCAAAAGGGCCATATTGGAGGCCAGGAAGGCCTGGTCTGGTCTGCACACATGGAGGTTTCCACTGCCAGAAATTATCTCAAATCTCCCACCATGCCTCAGAGTAAATCTCACATCGCAGCACCTATATCAACCAGGCCTCCCCGAACTAATAATGTTTGACAAACCAACTGTTTAACCAGAGAGAAGAAAGATTCAACATGCATAAGCCCAGCCTAGGGGCGGGAGGAACTCAGCCTTTCCTTTTTGGGGTGGGAGGAGTGGAAGCAGCAGTTAGATTTACTGCCTTTGTACGGGCACAGCAGCTCTGTGGTGGTTTCTATGCCAGGCCCAATTTCAAAGGGAACCCCCAGCAGGACAGGGTCAGGATTACTTGAGAGGAGACTTACTGTAGCAGTGGGATTCTTCTCAAGCGACAAGCTGTTCGTGTTATCCTCAAGGACAGAATAGACCTCAGCTTGGTGGGATTCTAGGCACTAGAGCAGGAAGAGGAAAGAGGGCTTGTGTCACATCACAAACATGCAGTGCATAGAGGTGAAAAAATGCAGTTGCCTGCTGTGGTCAGGGATTGTCATCCATCCTAAATTTGAGTTCTGATGAGCCTAAAGCCTGCATCCCCAAAGTCTGCAAAAGTCCTGGAAACTGCTTCCTGCCCTAACTGCACAGGGCAGCCCCGTCCTTGTCATGATTTTGAATCATGGAGACATGACGAGATTTTTTTTCTCCCTAGGATATAAATCTAAGAAAGCAGGGCCCCTCCCACCTGCCTCCATCTACTCCAAATTCTTCACACAGTGCAGAATAAGACCCTCCTCTGTGGAGGACATTCATTGCTCGGTGGGACAGGAGGTGAACCTGCAAGCAAGATGAGCTCTGAATGGTACAATTTGGCACTAGTGTGCACATCACTCCCAGGTTCCAATCACAATCACGCTGGGCGTTTGGGAATGGAAAGAGTGGCTGAGCTGATGTCCTGATGCTCAACAGCACAGCAAAAGGTGGGAACTTCATACTCACTTATAATGGGGACAATTTGCATTTGTTTTTTAAACCGGGAACTATTTTTCCTCCTTAGAATGCAGAAATAATATAGGAACTCTCTCTCTCTCTCTCTCTCTCTCTCACACACACACACACACAGAGTCTAGCTCACACACACATTACTAATACACACTTACATA